TTCGATCTCCTTACTGGTGATTGGTCTATTCAAATTCTCTATTTCTTCTTGATTCAGTTTTGGAAGGTGGTATGATTCTAAGAATTTATCCATTTCTTCTAGAATATCCAATTTGTTGGCTTATAGCTTTTCATAGCATTCTCTTATAATCTTTTGTATTTCTGAGGTGTCCATTGTAATTTCTTCTCTTTCATTTCTGATTTTATTTATTTGAGCCTTCTCTATTTTTTTCTTGGTGAGTCTAACTAAAGATTTGTCAATTTTGTTTATCTTTTCAAAGAACCAGCTCTTAGTTTCATTGATTTTTATATATATATTTTTTTAGTCTCTATTTCATTTATTTCCTATCTGAATTTTATTATTTCCTGCCTTCTTCTGGTTTGGGGCTTTGTTTGTTCTTCTTTTTCCAGTTCCTGTAGGTGCACTGTTAGATTGTTTATTTGCAATTTTTCTTGTTTATTGAGGTAGGCCTGAATTCCTGTAAACTTCCCCTCTTAGAACCACTCTTGCTGTATCCTGTAAATTTTGACATGTTGTATTTTCATTTTCATTTGTCTCCAGGTATTTGTTGATTTCTCCATTAACCCAATAGTTGTTCAGTAGCATTTTGTTTAATCTCCACATATTTGTGGCTTTTACAGTTTTGTTCCTGTAGTTGATTTCTAGTTTCATTCCGTTGTGGTCAGAAAAGATGCTTGGTATTATTTCAATCTTAAATTTCTCGAGACTTGTTTTGTGGCCTAGTATGTGATCTGTGCTGGAAAATGTTCCATATGCATTTGAAAAGAATGTGTATTCTGTGGTTTTTGGATGGAATGTTCTGTATATATCTACTAAGTCCATCTGGTCTAATGTGTCATTAAGGCCAGTGTTTCCTTATTGATCTTCTGTTTGGATGATTTATCCACTGGTGTAAGTGGAGTGTTCAAGTCCCCTACTATTATTGTGTTACTGTCTGTTTCTCCTTTTATGTCTGTTAATAATTGCTTTATATATTTAGGTGCTCCTATGTTAGGTGCATAGATGTAAATTTACAAGTGTTATATCCTCTTGTTGGATTGTTCCCTTGATCATTATGTAGTTCCCTTCTCTGTCTCTTATTACAGCCTTTGTTTTAAAGTCTATTTTGTCTGATATAAGTATTGCTACTCCAGCTTTCT